AAAAAAAAAAAAAAAATAGTATGCATATATGTAATGTGTAAAGTGAAGATGCCTTAATGGCGGCCATTCTTTAGTTTGGTGTCTATTACAAGAGTCAGCTTTCAATTATATAAAATATTGGTGAGCAAAGTAACTCCCACATTTTTAACCATTTTTTTTTTCTTTTTTCCTGAAATAAGCTCAAGAGCAAGATGATGTTCTCATAGTTGATTCGGATGAAGATTCTTCAAATAATACTGACGTCAGTGAAGAAGAGAGAAGCCGCAAGAGGAAATTAGATGAGAAGGAGAATCTCGGTGCAAAGAGGTCACGTATAGAACAGAAGGAAGAGCTTGATGATGTCATAGCATTAGATTGAACAGAAATGCCTCTAAACAGAACCCTCTTACTACTTAGTTTATCTGGCAGAACCAGATTATTTGTTATATCCTTTGTTCCAAAGGGAAAAAGTTGACACCAGTGACTTGAAAATTATTCTGCTCCCTTTGAAAGCATTCATTTTGCTAAAGCTGTTAGACACATTGCAGTATTGCTGTATTGAAAGTAGGAATATAGTTTTTAAAACCCTTTGAACAAAGTGTGTGCATAACCAGTCATGAGATAAAACAACACAGTGCATGTTGCCTTTTTAATGTAAATACCCTTAGGTATCATTAGTTTCAAAATATTGTGGTTTAGTAAAGTTGATACCTGGTTATAAATATTATGCCTTTATTTTTGGCTAGAAGAAGAATTATTTTTAGCCTAGATCTAACCATTTTCATACTCTTAACTGACTGAAACAGATTCAAAGAAGTATCAAGTGCTATGCATTGAAACTTGTTTTTAAATGTTAAATGGCACTATGTATATTAATGTAAAACAATGTTAATTTACTCAAGTTTTCAGTTTGTACTGCCTGGTATGTCTGTGTAAGAAGCCAATTTTTGTGTATTGTTACAGTTTCAGGTTATTTATATTCGATGTTTTGTAAAACTCAAATAACGACTATACTTATGGACCAAATAAATGGCATCTGCATTCTTGTTACACATGCCTGCACAGTTTGTGTTTCTGCTGCCTCACTAGATATGAGGCAGCAGAAACAGAAACTGTGCCATTAAATTCTTTCCATTAAAAAAATAGGGCCAGGCACGGTGGCTCACGCTTGTAATCCCAGCACTTTTGGGAGGCCGAGGCAGGTGGATAAAGAGGTCAAGAGATCGAGACCATCCTGGTCAACATGGTGAAACCACCACATCTCTACTAAAAATACAAAAAATTAGCTGGGCATGGTGGTGCGTGCCTGTAATCCCAGCTACTCAGGAGGCTGAGGCAGGAGAATTGCCTGAACCCAGGAGGCGGAGGTTGCGGTGAGCCGAGGTTGCGCCATTGCACTCCAGCCTGGGTAACAAGAGCGAAACTCCATCTCAAAAAAAATTAATAATAATAACTTGGTCGGGCTCAGTGGCTCATGCCTATAATCCCAACACTTTGGGATGCCAAGGTGGGCGGATCATAAGTTCAGGAGATGGAGACCATCCTGGCCAACATGGTGAAACCCAGTCTCTGCTAAAAATAAAAAAATAAATAAAAAAAAGATGGGTGTGGTGGCATGCACCTGTAGTCATAGCTACTCAGGAAGGTGAGGCAGGAGAATCTCTTGAACCTGAGAGGCAGAGATTGCAGTGAGCTGAGATCATGCCTGCACTCCAGCCTGGCAACAGTGAGACTCCCATCTCTAAAAAATAAAAAAGTAACTCGGCTGGGCACGGTGGCTCGTGCCTGTAATCCCAGAACTTTGGGAGGCCAAGGTGGGTGGATCACCTGAGATCAGGAGTTTGAGACCAGCCTGGCCAATGTGGTAAAACCCCGTCTCTATTTTCAAAATAATAATACAAAAACTAGCTTGTTGTGGTGGTGGGTGTCTGTAATCCCTCTACTTGGAGGCTGAGGCAGGAGAATTGCTTGAATCTGGGAGGCGGAGGTTTCGATGAGCTAAGATTGTGCCGTTTCACTTCAGCCTGGGCGGCGAGGGTCAACCTCCCCATTTCCAAAAAAAAAAAAAAAATATTTTAGTAGAGATGCGGTTTCACCACGTTGGCCAAGATGGTCAATCTCCTGACCTTGTGATCCATCCGTCTCCACCTCCCAAAGTGCTGGGATTACATGTAGGAACCACCATGCCTGGCAAAAAAAAAAAAAACCCTTAAAGGTTAAGAACATCACTGTTTGCCATGGACGAGTACTTTTTGTTTGTTAGTTTGTTTCTTGGAGACTTCACAGGTAGGAAAAGTACTTTCTAAAATAAAGTTCCTCCTGGGTGTGGTGGTGGTGTATATGTGTGTCCCAGCTGTTCAGGAGGCTGAGGCAGGAGGATGACTTGATCCCTGAAGTTGAAGGCCAGCATGGGCAGCATAGCAAGACCCTGCCTAAAAAATAAAAATAACGCTTCTAATGGCAGTGTTTTTAAAATTTGGATTGTCAGCAGCAGTTGGCATTTGTTGAGAAAGTATGTTACTTTTTTCCCAAGCCCAGTAGCTTGGAGCCTTGCATGTGAGAAGCTGGAGAGGGAGTCCTTCCTCCTTTCTGCAGTGTTTGTCTGGGTTGTCCCCTAGTTTACGAAAGTCCACTTTGAGTGTACCATCCCCAGCCCAACTCCAGCCTACAGTTAGTGCCAGATAGGCAGTAGGTAGAGTAGCACTTGTCTTCCTGGTCCTGGACCTCAGAGAGCTTTGCCCCTTAGGGTACTCTCATCACTCAGAGGTGTGCCGTGAGTTTTCAGAGAACAGAAACCCATTAAGCTATTTCCCCTATTGTATGCATGTGCCCTTTGTGTTTCTGGCAATATTTCTTTTGTATATCAACTAAATTTCAAATTTCTAATTCAGGTATTATTCTACTTTGTGTAATTCTTACTCTGCCATTCAGCTTATTAACCATTATTCCTTGTTGTACATCATTTGTAAATCAGAGCTTTCAGAAAAACCATGTTGAAGGCTGGGTGTGGTGGCTCACACCTGTAATCCCAGCACTTTGAGAGGCTGAGGCAGGAAGATCGCTTGAGACCAGGAGTTACAGACCAGCCTGGGCAACTTGGCAAAACCCCATCTTTACAAAAAATATAAAAATTAGCTGAGCGTGGTGGTGCTTCCCTGTAACCCCAGCTGCTTGGGAGGCTGACGGGGCAGGATTGCTTGAGCCTGGGAGGTGGGATTTGCAGTGAGCCAAGATTGTGCCACTATACTTCAGCCTGGGTGACAGAATGAGACCCTCCCTCTAAAAAAAAAAGAAGGAAAATCATGTTGAAGACTCAGCCGGCCAGGCGCAGTGGCTCACGCCTGTAATCCCAGTGCTTTGGGAGGCCGAGGCGGGTGAATCGCCTAAGGTCAGGAGTTCAAGACCAGCCTGGCCAACATAGTGAAACCCCGTCTCTATTCAAAATAAATAAATAAATAAAGACTCGGCCTTCTGGAGCCCCAGAGTGGACTGACTTTCACCTGAAAGTTATGCCAGCAAGCTGGATCTCCATCCACAGCTGTGAGCCTGTGAGCTTCATCTGCCTTTATGGTTTCAGAAGGTGTTTAATTTTCCTCTGGAAAATAACTTGAAACTTAACTATGTAATATAAAATGAAATATCTTAGGATGGATCTCATTTTTTGATACTTTTTATTCTGGAAAGCTCCCTAGAAATTTGCATTTTGCAATTCTCTCCATTCTTTACACGTCATCCTGCCTTATTTTTGAAGTGGTGCCTTCATAGGTCACTGCAGCCTTGACCTCCTGGGTTCAAGCAATTCTCCGAACCCAGCCTCGTAAGTCCCTGAAACTATAGGAGCTCACCACCATGCACAGCTAAGTTTTTAAAAATTTTTTGTGGAGACAGGGTCTCATGTTGTCCAGGCTTGTCTCCAACTGCTGGCCTCAAGGGATCCTCCCACCTTGGCCTTACCAAGTACTGGAATTACAGGCACTGAGCCATGCACCCCACCCTCGCCCTGCCTTTTTTTTTATTCCTTAGAGACAGAGTCTCACAATGTCGCCCAGGCTGGAGTGCAGTGACGCCATCTCGGCTCACAGCAACCTCTGCCTCCTGGGTTCAAGTGATTCTCCTGCCTCAGCCTCCCAAATAGCTGGGACTACAGGCAAATGCCACCATGCCCTAAGTTTTTTTGTTTTTTTTTAGTAGGGACAGGGTTTCACCATGTTAGCCAGGATGGTCTCGATCTCCTGACCTTGTGATCCGCCCGCCTTGGCCTCCCAAAGTGGTGGGATTACAGGCGTGAGCCACTGCGCCCAGCCACACCCTGCCTTTTAGTTATCAACAGTTACCAACGATGCATTTCTGATGTTTTGTATATGTCCTTTTGTTCTTTCCCATTTGAATGTATAGCACATGGTGTTAAGTGCCAGTTAGATCTGCGGAGATGTTTCTTATTTTGCAGACCAACAGTTTTCATCTTTGCATAAACTATTACTGCCTTTTCCAGCATGTTTGTCAGAAAGGCAGGTCTGACTACTAGTTCCAGGGATCCTGTCCAACTAGACAGTGAACCAAAGCAGATCCAAGCTTCCCCCAGGTCCTTAGAGGGTGGAGACACTTCAGATCTTGTGTTGTATTCTTGTCAATTGTCTCACCAGCTAGGAGCTGGGAGTAGGACTTGCAAAGGGAGTTTCCTCAACAGCTTCTTTTCACCTCCAGCCTGAAGTACGACGTTGACAAACTATCTTCCAGCCTCACTGGGAACAGTGTGGTGACAAGTTTACCTAGAGAATCCATTGTCCTAAAGACTACTGGCTACTCTGCATGTGGCATGAGAGGTTCCAACTTTTTTTTTTTTTTTTTTTTTTTGAGACAGTGTCTCCCTCCGTTGCCCAGGCTGGAGTATAGTGGCACAATCTCCGCTCACTGCAACTTCCGTCTCCCCTGCTCAAGCGATTCTCCTGCCTCAGCCTCCTGAGAGGTTCCAACATTTTAACACAGAGCCCAACCCATTAATGAGATAACCAGCCAGCCAAAGATCAGTGGGTGCCAAAACCTTTCAAGTAAAAGGCTACTGAGGAACAGAATTTTAGCATAAGGCTCAAATGTAGCTGCACTCCTGGGCTCAAGCCATCCTCCTGCCTCAGCCTCCCAAGCAGCTGGGACTGCAGGTCATTTGCAAAGAAAAGCATCAATCTTTATTTATTTATTTTGGAGATAGGGTCTTGCTCTGTCCCCCAGGCTGGAGTGCAGCAGTGTAGTCACAGCTCACTGCAGCCTCAACCTCTCAAGGCTCAAGTGATTTTCCCGCCTCTGCCCTTCCCAAGTAGCTGAGACTACATTTGTGAGCCACCACGCCTGGGTAATTTGGGAAACATCAATCTTCACAATGGACAGATCTGACTGCTGCCACAATAATCAAGTGATCAAACCTAGTATCACTTATGGGACAGCCTGATGTTACTGTGCTTCCTAAGATAATATCAAGAACAAAACAGCATCTCAGCAAGGACTTGTTGACTGGATTCTAACCAAGCGTCTAGACTTCCAGCTGACAGGAAATGGAGAGAGGGTAGAGGAACAAGTTAACCTTCAGAAACGATCAGGTGAGCAGAATATATGTGATACTCCGTAACTGGCTGGGCTCTTCAGTGAGTCATTGTCATTTCAAAAAAGGAAGGCATAGATATTCTGGGTTAAAAGACATTTAAGAAACAACCTGGCCGGGCGCGGTGGCTCACGCCTGTAATCCCAGCACTTTGGGAGGCCGAGGTGGGTGGATCACGAGGTCAAGAGATCAAGACCATCCTGGTCAACATGGTGAAACCCGTTTCTACTAAAAATACAAAAATTAGCTGGGCGTGGTGGCGCGTGCCTGTAGTCCCAGC